TAATGCCTAGGTGAACTTCCATCCTTCACAGAGATTCTTTAGGTGAGAAACACAGTAACCTCCCAATAAACTAATCATCTGCCCTAAAGCTAATTGGAAGTGTCTTTGCATTTAAGAGAGAAATAAGGAATTACACTCAATGTACTAAATCTTATAAATTAAATCTTATGTTATCCATATGACAACTGAGATGTTATCACAAAATATGAAGTATTTTAGAATGCTGCAAAATAATATTTAATTGTTATACATAAAAAATATTGAAAATTAAAGTGAAATTTAACTGAAAATGCCTAAAATTCAAAAAATTATTGTGTAATATTTCAAAAGAAAACAGTTGCCTAAGTTATTCTTCCAAAGTCAACTACGGTTAATAATATAATTAAAACTCAATACACAGTTTCAACTTAACAGTTAAAGCCAATGTAAAGAAGAAAGTCTAGATATACACATGCCTCATGTTAACACAGAACCATTTCTCAATAGACTCTTTGTCCACTCCTTGAAGTCATGATCAGTATTCTGAGTCAAGGTTCAAACAACAGCCATCAGCTATTGACAAATCAAGACCACTGAAAAATTGAAAAAAAGAAAAGATATAAATGTATACCAGTTGAGCCCTTCTACTCTTGCCAGAAATAAAATCTCTTACAAAAGATGACCATCAAGACCAATTCCTCTCACTCAAAAGAATTTGGAAGAGTTCTGAGGAAAGGAAAAGAAGGAAAAAACAAACCAAACCAAAACAGAAGACTATTGAAAAACCTCTTACAGGGTTAGCTGTCAATGGAATACATTTTAGTATTCAAGTTACCCACTCAAGCAGAACATCAAAAACTGGGCTTGAGTCTCTCCCCGATTCTCACAGGCTCAGCCTACTGTGGAGTCACTGGGGCTGTCTTGAATAGTAACACACTTTGTCACTGCGGGACGCAGAGACACCAACACAAGCTGATCAAACAGAAAGGGGTACCCTTTCTACTTGACTTTCATTTTCTTGAGTCATACTTTAAAACACTTAAGTCAGCTGTCTAATGTGCAGCTTATTTTTTCATTCATTTTTAACACCTACCACAC